AATTAAGGCTCGGCAGTGTGGTGCATCGTGTGAAGCGTTAGGAATACACTCGGCACCGCATGTCTGATTACCCTGCGGTGCTTCGCAGGTTCGAATCCCATGCGGGGATAGTTATGTGTGTGAAGATTGCTGGACTCCCCCTCACTGTGAGGTGGTTTACATAACCGCTGGTCAGTTCAGGTTTACTCCATCATCATGCATTCGAAACCAAATAACTAGCTGACTAATCCCATACTGTAAATGGACTGGTAGCTGGATGGCTTCCCTCTCACCTGGGATAAATATGTAAAATGTAAATCCTGTCCCAACTGAATTTAATTCATCATGGATTTCTTGGTATCTGTTTCACATATAAATTTGACTCAACATTTCTTGAAATTATTTTCTTTCTATTGGAATACTCCATAACTTTGGGGAGATTGTCGGTTGGCCTGGTGATATACTTAACAATGTACGCTCACCACTCCACTCATTATATTATTTGTAAGGCAATACGAAAACGGTAGTAGCTTATTAGCCTATATATCAGTGGTTGTTTATGCTGAGCACTCGATGGTTAATCTGACGGTAAATGTATATATACAGGGTTCCAAAAAATTCCTCCTAATTTTATAGGAATAACAATTGTAAGTTTAAATAAATTGTATTCCATGATAAATGAGAACCGCAAGCATAATATGAACTAATAAACATAGAAAAAGATATTTTTAATTGTTATTACTTACTATGAAATCGGACACCCTGTATATAATATGCCTATATATATTTGTATAGAGGATATAAAAACTAGACGATAGTTCTTTGAAGAGTAGCCCCCATTAAATTTTGATATAGGCCTACTTCTTTTCTAGGTACGTTCTTGTGACTTCATATCGACCTCTCAAATGCTACATGTATCGACTCGGCTTCTGTCGGTTTTGCACAGTGAAATACACTCAGAGTACGAATGAATTAGACAATATGTTTGTACATTTAACAAATGTTTCAATACAAAAACATGGAGATGAATACAACCCGATCCATGGTGGGAAATGGACTATAAGGTAGCGTTCAGTTTTGTTCGATGTTATTAAATCTAGTGGCAAATATATTTAGTTTGACATTCTTGGTTCTGCTTGGCATGGTAGAGATTCATATGCAGCGTCCAGGGGTGCGGAGTCAGACGTAGCTTTGTTTTATTGGTGTTGCTGTAGTATTTGTACCAAAATGGCGCACAACCTGAACATAGTATGTGTACCAGGTTAGGGTTAGCAGGTTGTGTGCCATCTTGGTACGAATACTACAGGAGCGCAGTTCCTTTTGTCAGATTTGGTTTGGCATGTATAAGATGTATTTACTGAAATTGGGTCAACAATGGAATTTTTAATTCACCAATGTTGAAATGACAGACTTATTATGATGCTGATCGGAGTCAAAATTTTTTAGTAGTAACCCGAAAAGCATTATATTGACTAATCATTTCAAACAAACAGTTAAGTCAGAAGTACGCCAAAGTTTCTTGATATCAAATTTCCGTTTCTCAGCATTTTAATTTGAGTTGTTGTCAATATGTCTGTGCTATAGATTCATTAGGTCAGGGTGGTCCAAGATTGGCAGCTCCAATCAATTATTCGGATTTGATTCTTGATTTTTTTATTTCAATTCTGAATGCGGCCTGGGTTTGGACCACCCTGCATTAGGTAATGCCAACCATTAATATTTCAGTCATTCCATAATTATTAGATAATTTCCTTATCAGTGGCTGTAAGTGTTATCTATTGCAGTGGTTTTCAAACGGTGGGGCCCGCCCTAAAACAGGGGCGTAGACAATTTCTTGAGGGGGTTTCAAGCTATTTAAAAAAATATATTTGCTAGATTTGATCTTCCCTGCCTTATTTTGGATATTTACATTTTAAAACTTATCATTTATTTCATTATTTTCGTTCCATCCATGTCTTTTAATCATCGCCTTACTACCTGTTGTTTGTAGGTTATTGTTAGCTACCGGTAGTTATTATTGGAGTGGGGTGTGAGACTCGACAAATTCTAAAAAGGGGGCACGGCTTGAAAACATTGAGATCCACTGGTCTATTGGAAAACATGTTATGAAAGGTACAACATGAATCAAGTTATAATTCAGTTACTCCTTTCCAGCAACCTTCGACACTTCTTGGAAAGTACTCGAGGAAAAGCCGTTACGGACAAACTTTTCGATGAAATTAACTGGTTGACTGTATGTTCATTGAAAGCGGTCTCTGGATCAATGGCAAATGATCGACATTGCTTTGAATGCTACGGCTACGATATTATTATTGATGACAAGTTGAAACCTTGGCTTATTGAGGTTAGTATTAAAATAACTAAATTTATATTTACTGCGGTGAATTAATGTTTTATTGAACACAAGCAATACTAAACCTAAACAGTTAATTGTCACCACAAATAACAGAATATAAAGTCAGACATAAGATACATGTTGCTTCTGCTATACCAAAGTACTAAATGACCTCTGGAGACCAGCATTGCAGTATTTATACCCGGAGTGGATTGACCCACAATACCATACCATCACGCCAGGGGCGGACACCCGGGGGGGCGAGGGGGGGCGGTCGCCCCCCCAATAATTTCGCAAAAAAATTTAATACATGTTGTTTCCGCCCTACAAAATTATCATTTCCGAAAAGTGCGATAGTCAAGCGCCATTAAACGGTTAATAGTTACCGATATTATAACTGTTTTCTTACAATAATGCGCCTTCGGAGCACCTCACATTTTCGTGAAACATGCGCGCCCGCACGGGTAATACTCCGTCTTCAAACGCACCGCCGATCACGCGCCACGGTTTTGCACAACTAACTCATTTTTGTACAATTTAATATGATTTTCTCATTGTCAAAATCTTTCAATAGTGTTATTGTTGGCACTTGCGAAAGAAATGAAAGAGGCAAACTGTGTTTCATTACAACAATTAATTATTATCGCTAAAAAATTAACTAGATCTAAAGTTGTTTTAAACAATTTTCGCCGCGGGACGTATCTTTTTACGTTAAGGATTTCGTGCAAGGCCCAGCATAATTTGCGGGCAAAGATCAAAGCATTTACTTTGTCGAAAAGTTGAAAAGCGGCAATATAAAATACTAAAAATAAAACTGTAAACAATATAAGTTTTGAGGCCCGCGACAGTCTAAAAACGCTTTTCTAGGCATCGAAAATCGCAAAATTTCGTGTGCCAGCGGCACAAATTATGTTTGCTTGACCTTTAAAAATATTTCGTTACTAAAATCGAAACACGGTCAATTGTGAGCGGGATTTGCCTTTTTATCCATTACTTTAAAATTGACGTCGAAAATTTTCGTGTTAACATTAAACAAAGCTGAGAACGCGACTTTTCCACGGTTTGTGATGATATATAAGATAATTAAAGTATATTCGATCACTTTTTGTATTTATTTATGTATTTTTATTGTACTGAAATAACTTTTACTACGTGAGAATTGACAGAAAATTTACGGATTTTTCGAAAGGTTTTTTCCGTCGTGTTTTAGAGTGGCCCTTGTTTTGTCGACTCAACCGCAGTTTAAATTGAAGACAATTAAATTAATAAATTAAGACATTTTGAATATGCCCGTATCGGTCTTTGATTGATTACTTTGCACAAGTGAAAAATCATTTTTCGTTGATGAAGTCGGCTCTATTAACAAGTGGCGTAATCGCGGCGACTGTTCCGCGTGGATTTCGAGGCGGTGTATTTGTATTTTTGATTTACTAGTATACCTTATAATTATTTTCATTGTATGAATTAAAATTGTACTATATCGGATTTTATATCAGATATCGAGATTTTTGTAACGACGATAACGAGTTCGGAAGATTGCAAAAATACGTATCAAAATTAAATACATCAGGCAGCTTATCTCATATTTTTATGTCCACATATCGCCGTGGTACTTTAAGTTTAGTAATATTTTTATTTTGACGTAAGAAGTCGCAACCGCGAGTTAGGTTGCACACAATTTAATATATAAGGACATTTTAGAATCTTGTGGCTGTCATGGATCGACAGAAAAATCATTATACGCTCAAATAGGCGGCTCTTTTATTGAGCGCGTAATCGCGGTGCTTGTTGCAGACGGCAGTGGGAAGTTCCGACTTTGACCCCGCCTTTTTTTTAAAAATCCTGGCTGCGCGCCTGAACTTGTGCCTGTTTATTTTCGTATTAAATTATAAATAAAAACCCTGCAAAGTCATTGCGTGAATCCTGAATGTTATTTCGAGTTCAAATGATGATTTAATAAATCGGCAATAATGGCAATTCTACTAGTCAAATGATAATTCCTTGGTAAAATTTAGGAAAAAAATTCGCACAATAGCTTGTTACTTTGTTTTGCATTTCTAATTTCACGAAACGGCGTTAGTGCGCTTTATGCAGAACTAGGAATTGAAACAATAACCTAATACGACTCCTCAAATTTGTTATTTTCTGTATGTTAGCAAGAGCCGTGGGCTAATTCTCGCGGAATTCAAGAAATTGGTTCAGTGACGCGCAAGTTTCGTGTCCGAGCAAAGCAGCCTAGGTAATCGATATATGAGTAGCAAACTGACATGCTAATACTTAGAGAACGACATCGACAGGTTATTGTTACGTGACGATACACGGCGCGGTGTTTTTCGGTAGGCGATCCAAGTTCGCCCCCCCAAAATTATGGAAAGTGTCCGCCCCTGCATCACGCTGTGCTGTCATTGGTCAGTTCAAAGAGTGGGAAATAGAATTAAAGCACAGTTATCCCAGGATGACAATCACCTGGACAAAATCAAAATGAGAACACACAAGTTAACAATTTGGGGCTTTGACCCAAGAAGCCAAAACCTTGATAAACCTATTATATAAACCTGAGAAATTGAGGAAAGCGAATATTTCAAACTTTCAAACATCTCTGACCTTTTATTGAACCCATGTCAAACTCAAAGGTTGCCAGTCGGGAAACTATCATCTTGCTAACCAGAAAAGCATGCTATTGAACTCTTATGCCAAATAGATTCTCTCAAAATCCCTTTCTTCCAGGTCAACGCATCCCCTTCTCTCACATCGACCACAGCTAACGACAGAATCATGAAATACAATTTAATTAACGATATTTTAAACATCGTCATGCCTGGTGGGGAAGCCCCTGATGTAAAATGGAATAAAGTACCCCCCAAAGAAGGTTACGGGCATTTTGATCTTCTCTACGATGAAGAACTAGCTCAACAAGGGGACACTGGAGGGCCCTCTAGTGATATTCGGGACTCCAGGAGTAGGGGTATGATGGGTCCCGGGGCAAGAGGCAGGGACCAAAGTCGCACAAGAGGGGCAACAACTTGGAAATGATTAGGATTTGGTATTTATCAGAATTCTAGGAATGTCTATTGAAGTTGACTATATTCAATTTTCCATATAGTCTGGTAGCTCAATTCCATTCCAAATAAAGTATCAGGGTAGTCATAAAAGTCTTCAAAGTGCTAAAAAATTTCATTGCTACCTTATATAGTTTGTTGGCCCCTGTTTCGTTGAATGAAGCACATACTCAAATAAACGCTGATTAGGAATAAATAAACCTGGTTAAGATATATTGACAGTTGGCTTCATACCATCATTTTAATGGGATTTATGAACGCCTGGTACATTCCATTTTCAAGTCGTGAAGTCTAGGTACAGAGCCTCACATTCTCACAAGGCAGGTTATATGTTGTGGTAGATTAGATATTGCAAACCGTATCAATATTTTTTATTCGAAGTCTAAAAATTGATATTTTATAGTCTGTAACCTCTTACAATTTGACTCTATTTCAGCATTGCTTGAAATATTTTCATTTTTACCGCAATTGGTAGCATAGTCATCAGGTCTGTATTTACATTCCTACATTTCAGCATTCATCTATGGCTCATGCTTGGCTTTCTCTCTATTCTACTGCTGTTCGGCAGCTGTCGCTATCTTTTTAGGGTGTGGTTAGGGTAGCGATTAAATTTTATTTTGTTGCAGAAAATGTGTGTTGGTCGCAGAAAGGTCTGGTGCATTGTATGTAGATGTAAGAAGCTCATTTTTAAGGAAATTCGCTCAAAGCAAGGTATTGTGCACTCACTCAGAAAATAAGATATTAATCTAACAATAACAGATGACCACTACAGTGTCAAGGGCTTCTGTTTGAGACAGCGAAGGAATGTAGTGGGTGTCCATAAAGTCTCTAGAAAATTGTAAATTGCAAAGGTGATTTACCATTAGCTAGAGTGAAAATACTCAAACCTAAACAATTACTGATTAAAAAACAACAAACCTGGTTAAGATATATTGAGAACTGAATTTCACTCTTATTGCGAGTTAGAAAATACTGTCTGATACATGACTTAAGATCAGGAGTTTTGGTGTACCGAATAGAAAAATTTGACAGTAACAGCATGTTCACAAGGGACATACCTCTTTATAGCAAACTGAAAAAAGGACACTAGGTTAGATAAATTGTCTCTCTGCAGTGCAAGCATAATGAGCATCAAGCGCACAAAAAAGCAATATGCAATCTTTTATGGTTGTGTACTTTCTTGTATGTAAAATTTATCTTTCATGCAGATCAAATTTATCCCAGAGTTGGGGAAGGAAATTCTATATGAGGCACTTAATACATTACTACTATTGAATTATATTTTATTATCGAATATTTCTTCCAGCTCTTTATATTTTTGAAAATTTTGTAATAGATATTTTTGTAGAAATATTTGAATCTTTAGTTTTGCCTTTTTTAAAATGCAGCAGATTCTAGGATCTCTCTCATAAATGAGGAAAGCTGGTTAGGGCATACTTTTTCAACCTGTTAATACAGACTGCTAGTCTGCGGAGGTGGCCGAAACCGTATAATATGGAATATACAGAAAACATAGTAATTAATGCACAGGTTAGAATCAAATTTTGCTTCTAGCACAAATTATCTATCAATTTAGACTACATTTCAAATTTTCTAGTCCTGTAATACTCGAGATAAAGCCATGTCTCATCAAGAAGTTTTGATCCCGTTTTTTTTTTTAATTCTTTGCGCCAGTTCGAAACATGCATCTCGAATTCTGACGTAAGACTATTTATTACCTCCCTAGTAAATTATTGATGAAACATGTTTCTTATTGCGTGTGACAACTCAGCGAACCGACCGAATGATAAGTTGTCAGTAATTTTATTAGAGTTGGAGGAGAATATGATAAGTATCTTCCAAGTAATCAGATTCGATTCTGAAATCATCAGGTATTCGAAAATACCAAGCCCCAACTATAAATTAAACTGGAGTTATGGGAATAGTACCTACCGGTACTGAAGGCCCTTACTCAATGAGGGCAGACTGAGTGACACCCTGATATAAACCTTTCTCATAAATTACCAAGACAGAGTAGAATATGTATTGTGTATTCTAAACAAGCAGCAATATATGAAGAAAAGTTAAAACAGTGACAATATTAAACCGGAGAAAATGTGCCATGTAAAAAGCAAACCTTAAATGAATAATATATGAAGTGATTTGGAAAAGTTGTGATTAAAATATGCGGGACTCTGAAATAAATACTAAAAAAAGTAAGAAGTGCTTTGGGTTTATAATTTTTGATTTTGGGTGTTGACCCGGCTGGCTGAGTAATACTGTGGAGGCCTTGTGGTTAGAACTGTGTTGAAACCGCAAGTTGGAAGCCCATCTTTGTGATACATAGTCTAACCCACCCCCTTTTTTTTCGAAATTTTTGGAAGACTAAAAAAGCCGCTAATAACACGTGCGATTGCATTTTGCTTTCGTCAGTGTGATATGTTATTTAGGCCTTAAATTTTTTTACGCTGGTGTTTATTCTTCTTATTAAATCAAAAATATCCTCAACATTGAATATATTGTACGCGAAAAGAAAAGTGATTAAGATTCAAAAAATACGACTTTTTTAACGAGCACATAATCGCAGCGACCGACTCAGAAGTGAATGGGAAATTCCAATTTCGAAACCCTCCTTTCGAAAATCCTGGCTGCGCCCCTGTACATAGGTATGTAATGGCTCTTCGTTTGGAGTGAAAAGTCTTGGAAGTTGGAAGATTCTCAACACATTAAGAAAAGTATTTTAAAACATAGTGGGAGTATATAATAACACGAGGTATATTGAGAAGTTAATTAGTATACGAAGTAGGCTTGGATGATTTGTAATAAAAATCAACAGAACACTTAGAACAAAAAATCAAACACAAAATGGGTGAAGTCCCTGTTTGAAGATGTCAAAGGAAGTAACTTCAAAATCTTGGATAACCTGATCTGGAGAATTTTTTTAATTTTGTACTCATGCAGACAAATTTGATCTGCATAAGTGGACTATTTGGAACCAGGAGTAGTTGCAAAAGAGAATTCTAGAATATCTATCAATTTAGATACAGATACTATAACTTGTATGCATCAATGTCTCTTTTCAGCTTGATAATAGTAGTTAACCAATGCTTAATAATTCCAAATCGAACAGCAGGGTACAATTTGGAGGAATCACCCCTGGATAACCTGATTCACCATATGCTGAGTCAGACCCACAGATCAGCTTTGCTCTTTGACCAATGCTCATCTGAACAAGAAATTTTAAAATCTTGTGTGAGAAAAACAATTGCATTCAACGATTTGATTCTTTACAGTTTCAAGAAATTACTGAATGTTTCTTCGTTAGTACTGTGAGACTCCAATTGCTCCTAATGTAACCAAATTACTTCAAATATAAAGAATTTATATTTAGGTTGCTTCACATAGTCGCAGTTCAGTTACTGCTTTCTCCACCATCAAGTCCATGCATCTGAAACAAATAACTGGCTAACTAATCCCATACCAGACATGGACTGGTAAACGAACGAGAGACTGTGGTTTGCCATATGATTAAGCCGCCTCATAGGTTTCCCTCTACCCCAGGATAATAAATATGATATTCCTATCCTAGTACTCAAAAGTAGAGCAATTAAGAAAAGTTTAAACTACTTTTAAGATTCCTTCTTCCCATCCATGAATAACTTCCCCATGACCAATCCGGAAAGATAAAGGTTGTCCTCGATCTCTTGATGAATCGAACTTTTGTCCATTTGTGAAAGTGCCTAAAAAGTAGAGTTTAAATTTAGACAAATCTTGTCGAAGCGAGGTTCGTTACAACTCCATCCACAAACCATGCATCTGAGTTTATAAATTGATTAGGCAACCTTACAATCTTTTTTCAATTATACTGTATCACAATCAAATATCACTCCATATAAGAGATTTTCAATAAAGCTCATCAAAGGTAATAGAAGACAATTTAAACCCCATGTTTTAAAATTACTGCCAACCCAAGCGGAGATACTGCCTCGTTTGGTGAAAATTTCATGAAAAAATTTTCAAAATAAATTGAAGCATGACTATAACGAATGCACAGCATTCAGAACCATTTTCTTGTTTTGTGAATGTCGTATCTTTGAAGCGAGTTTTCGAAGCTGACAACTTGGAACGCTATACAGGTTATCAAATTTTAAAGGGTATATTATTAGAAAAGTACCATGGTTTACCTGTGTAATGAACATTGACTTTTTGGCCTTTCTTCGGATATGATTTACCTGTAATAAAGTAGTTACTGAATTGAACTCATTGAAAAACACATTTCAGCCTATTACCAGCTGGATAGAGTCCAATTGTGACATTTTCACAAACCTAAATGAATTGAAAGTGAATGATACAAAGTTTCCACTGATATAAATGAATATGGGGTCTCGTGTAGTTTCGTACCTAACGTTCTTCTAGTGGGCGTAGCATAACAATTTTTTGATATGTCAATCCTAACCCCCATCTGATTACGCCATCCAAAAATTAAATCACCACGACATCACAATCACGTCATAGAGCTTGCCAAATATACGCATGATCGACCGAAATGGCATTGGCGCCGACGATAAAGAACTGACTGACGTTATCGGTCTCTCTCCTATTGGAATCGTTGCGACGAGAAAACGAGAGAAATAACTGTTCGATTTCGGGTGCTCGTTTGCGCGTCTTGGATGGCAGTTCGTATAGTTTGAAGGGCTCTATTACGTCACTGTGGCGTCGTAATGACGTAATTTTCGGAGTCAGGTGGGAGTTAGGATTGATACGTAAAAAAATTGACATGCTACGCCCACTAGAAGTATGTTAGGTAAGAAACTACATGAGACCCTGAATATGTCCCTGTGTATTTTCAATCTCTCATTTATTCAGAAAAGTCATCAGAACTTCAGGTTTTTAAACGACTGTGTTACATTTTTTATTACAAGCTCTTGATACCGGCATGGTATGAGTTTAATTATGGCAGCATCATAGTACAGTAGTATGGAGACATTCCGGTACGGTACCGGTAATGAATTAGAGAGCTTATGAAGCTTACGTAGAATTTCAAATGAAATATCTTACCGTCTCCGGGTTTGATGGTCTCAATTTCGACCCCCATTGTGTGTGTCGCCAAGTCTCCTACAAGCAGCGCAAGAACGTCTATAAACTATGACATTTATAAAACAACCTTCCTAACGCTCCGCTCGCGCGAAAGTAATTTGCAGTAAGCGAGCAGCTGCACATTATCGACGCGTTTCGCAAAACGTCTATCGGGGATTTCTTCGCGAGATCTTTCCGTAAGGTGAGACTAAGAGCAGTGATATTTCAAGATGTTAAATGTTGCTGTTGTCCTGTGATGCTTCGAAGATGATACAGATGATAATTTATTTGAATTTATAAAATGACCATGCTCTTTGACTGAATAGATAATCGTTTTTGGTGCTGGACAAGCCAAAGCTATACTTGCACGATAAATACACGACACTAGTCTAGTAGCATATATTTACGATCTAGTACAGGGCACAGGGGTTCCCAAACCAGGGGTCGCGACCCCAAATTGGATCGGAGTGATAAGTAGTTCGGGTCGCAAACAGTTCATGGGGTCGCTGAGGTATGTCAGAGGATAGATGTACAAAACATCTATTTGAGAAAACAAAAAAGATTTGAGAAAACAATGTTAAATTTAGCAGTTTGTACCATGGCTTACTGTAAAACAGGCACATAGGCATCGATCTATGCTTATGCTATAAAAAATGTAGGTGCTTATTGTGACATCACTGTTTGGTTTTAGCTTATTTTACTAATACCATCACATGACAAACCTCGAAAGTCCAGTGAAGAAGCTCTAAAATTTAATGAAAAATATATATATTGATCTGGGGTCGCACTGAACATTTGAAAGTTGTTTTTGGGGTCGTCCTGTAAAAAGCTTGGGTACATACTTCTGACTGTCGACGGTCCGTATATGACCACATGTACACATCATTGTACAATCATCCTAAAATGTTTTTTTGGTCTGTGCGGACCTCTCCGTGGCCCGACCTGAAAAAATTTTGAACCTAAGGTTGATAGCAAAAAATCATTCCTACTCGATTTTAAGGATTAATATTCTATTTTTAGCAATTATTTTAAATAAAAACTTGCATACTTTTTATATTTGAAAATCTCGTAATTCTCCACTTAGTAATTGTGTTTTTAATAAATGAAAATAAAAGATATCCCTCCCCTCAAAAAAAATAAACTAAGACACTGTTTTATTTTCGGGGAAACACGGTATTTTTCATTCCAAAGGCAAAGTCAGCCGATAAACTGTACCTCGCGTTTTTTTTTCCATGCGGCATCCTCAGCAATGAACGTCTGGTAGGACCAGTCAGTCGTTTATTTATCATCACAAATAAGTACTCAGAAATTTGGGTGCTCCCGAAGTATTCGTACCAAGATGGCGCACAACCTGAACATAGTGTGTGTACCAGGTTAGGGTTGTTCAGGTTGTGCATCATCTTGGTACGAATACTTCCGAAATTTATACATCATATAAATGTACAAATAACGCCATTTGTGTGACAAGAGTCGCAGGGGACCTTGCGATGTCTTTAAGCACCGACGGTTACAGGTTTAGTATGAAGAGTAACTTCATATGATAGTTACAGCTATTAACTGCAATAGTCGTGATGGTAAACATATTAATAGCACATAAATAATCGAAAAATGATTTACAACAGAGGCAATTTAGAATAGGGATGGCGGAATTGAGTCTGGATTCGATTACAGAATCGATTCTTCGCGGAATCGACTAGAATTGATTCCGATTCACTGGAATCGATTATTAGGGTGAAACTTGGATTGCAAACAATGTGTAACGTTTTATGGCAAGTCCTTCACATATATGTCTAAACTGCTTTACTGCTATGCTGAGTTTCTTCGACATCGCAAACTTCACTATATATATATATATTTTTCGCTAGAAGGTTTTTATGTTTATTTATTTCAAAAGTCTCTGTGGGTCCTTACTGATTCGTCTTTTTTTTTTTTTGTGCGATTTTGTCTACTGTGACAGATTGGATATCCATACTACTCAGTTTTGGTTTTCTTGTCCTTCCAAATATTTGAACATAGCTCTCGATTTCATATAGTATAGTTTAAATGGGTATATTTTCTCGGCAAGATATGTCGAGGAATCGAGAATCGGAATCGAAAATTTAGGAATCGGATAAGAATCGAATATTTGTTAGTAGTCATACTTAGCATCCTAATTTGGAAAAAGCATGTAACAAAATACAAAGACAGAAGTTAATAAACTATACAGGGGTGGCCAACCTGCTTGCGACCGCGATCGACTAAAATCTTTAACACAGCTCGCGATCGACTGATCGGTAATGAGCTCTTACACAAAAATCGAATTAGTACTGAAGATGCAGATAACTTCACAAACGCAAACAAATAATTCTGCCGCTGCCACAAAAACTTGTATTATTTATATTCCACCTAATTAGGTTAATTTCTAAATATTAAATTAATAGGTTCTATCGGCCTTGCCCAGACTCGAATACTATGTGTATATCGTATTTTTCGCATGCACAGTCCTATTAGTACTACAGTATTATTGCTGTTTTAAAACACACAACATGCGCTGCATGAAACTGGTTCAAGGCAATTTTTTGAGGTATCATATTAAATTCACTCAACATCAGACGCGATCGACTACTCGAGACGTGACGATCGACCCGTCGATCGCGATTGGCATGTTGGCAACTCCTGAACTATAGAAAAGAATTTTGCGCAGAACACATAAGTTATCGACAAAATATCACAGTAAACAATTGTATCACTTGCTTCGTATCGCGGGTGGGCGTTCACGTTATGCCGGTCAATTACATGCAGAAAAAGATTGCCTGCATCTTGAATGATAATTTGGTTATTTATTACAATTTCCGCTCCCCGCACAGGGACTGATACTAACCAACGATGAACTGTGGTCGCCACATGATTAACCGTGTTATCGCATCTGCTCTCCCCCGGGATAAATATGAAAATTTCATCTTATATTAAAACTCTGCTGATTTTAAGTCTATAGTTGTCGCACATAGGTTAACCTAGTAGCTAGACTTCAGACTCGAGTTCGCACATTATTCATTTAAATGGCCATTCTATTATTTCCTCGTTACCGCATAAGTGCGAAATCCCGCGCATAGAGTTCAAATTCATCTACATTCTACACCATAGGTTCTCTAAGTGCTCCGTACGGAGCCCCAGGGGTCCGCGAGAAAAAACCCAGGGGCTCCGCGAGCTATTCGATTACTCTTCAAAATACTGACTCAAAATTTTGTAACTGTTCATAGAAGCAATAACAGCTTTAATAAAATCTGACAACAATATAGCCTCGAAATATGGCAAAGAGGCGGAATTAAAAATGACATTATTTATAAGCAGGAGCGCAGCCAGAATTTTTAAGAGGGAGGTGGTTCAAAATTGAAATCGGAAATTTCCGCGCAACATTCTTCACGACTAAAAACGGATAGCGAGATTTCTGTTGCGTAAAATATTCAATCCATGATCGGTACGAGCATTTAACGTGTCTCGTCGTTATAATGTAATTGTGGTCATCGTTACTCACGTTTGGTTCGAGATTACTATTAGGATTACTAAAATGAAAGAATACTATTCTAAAATAACATAGAATATGTGATAAACTGCTAATTATAAATAAATTGGAGTCGTATTTTTGCGATCTTGGGATTTGTCAAACTTGATTTGTTCTTTTGCACTTGAGATTATTTTTAAGCAAGATATCGCCTTTTAAAAATCACAATGTCTGGCAAAATACGAACAATTGAAAATTTATCATATTGCATCCGGCTCCGTCGGTAGTTTCAGAATGAAAAAAGGTACATCGCGGATCGCGCGCACAATTGATTGCTCATTAGTACGATGAAAACCTAACATAACAACAAATTTTGTGATTTACGATATCTATGAAAGCGTTTTCAATCTGAGTCTGCTGAAAACCAAACGTGTGATCTTCCATTTTAAGTTTCAGTTTTAATATTTTAGAATGCCGTTTTTCAATCAAGAAATTCGAGTTGCGGATTTACCTCTTCATTAATTATTAATTTTAGCATTTCATCGCCGATGACTATAATATGGAAACATGTTTTACACATTGAACTCATAATTCCCCACGAGAACAAAAAAGCAATTAACGTTGTCATTGTGTAACAATACATGTATATGCCGAGGAAAATTTTTGATTTAGGGAGAATAAACACCGGCGTAAAGATGTTTAAAACACGCCATGCTGACGAAAAAATCGGCGATTGTAACAAAATGAAATTGCGCACGTTATTAGCGGCTTAAGTCTTCTAAAAATGTCAATAAGGAAAAGATTCGCCCCCTAATTTATCAATATGTTTGTCAAGTGTCAAATTTACATCTTTAGTATATATAATTTATGTTTGAAATTTAGATTTATTTATGACTTCTGTTGACCCGATTAAAAAAGGTTTAGCATTTAAACTAAGTAAAGTATTTTTAACTTGCTCAGGAATATTAATCTGAAAGTAACAATTTTAACATTTATTTTGAGGCTCCGCGAATAATATTTAACCTTTCAAGGGCTTCGCAACACCAAAAGTTTGAGGACCCCTGATCTACGCCAGTGATTTTCAACCCGTGTTCCGCGAGGGACCTGCCGCTGTCCCGCGTCAATTTTATTTTTGGACACGTAGTGGACATAACGATCGTTTCAAAAATTTGTTGTTATTGTTATTTGTCTCCATCATTTTTAAAAAATCGCTTTTCTCTTCGAATACTGGACCAATTGCTTTGAATTTTTCAGTGGTTGAAGATAATATTTTTTCCCAGAAGGGTATTACTTTTATTCATTTTAAATATTTCTGTTAGCTCTGTGAGATTTGTTTTTGTTTGCTATGACGTCATTAAACGTTCTGCGGACATCGGACGCCATTTTGTGTCCTACTGTACTGCTTCGCTTGGTTTGAATATATTTGTAGACTGTGATCTGACGGTACGGTAAACCGTACTGTACTGCGAACAGACGTGTCCATATATTTGGGCGTAGCTCTCTTGTTATATTTTGGCATCCTTTATGATAGCAACATAAAATCAAAATCCACATATGTATTTAGTTTTCAACAAGATTCCTTTGCGTGTAATAAACGTCTTTCTGGGAACGGACTCCCTATTTTATTTCATGAATTAAATTCTACTAGATGACTTTCTCTGGAAGACTCTACTAG